TTAAATATTTAAATTTATTTATATAAAGGAATTAAGGCAGTAGAGTACAAATAAAATGAAATTATCATCTGCGATGTCAAATAGATTTATCTGAGACAGAAATCAAGAAGAACCAATGAAATGACAGAAATAATTTTTTATCTATCTTCCACGACTGATTAAACAGTTTAACAGACGAACAAAGTTTATTTTGAAAAGACATACTTATCGCAACATATTTTTTTTCTGCACATTTACGCGCTTTTACATTGTCGCATCGGCCTGTCTAGTAAACAGTTTAATTCCTGCAGCATGCGTGCAACCTGATGTCAATATTAGCTCTTAAATTAACAAGTTCTAAATGCCTTGGTAAACAGATATTTTACTATTATAATGTTTTAATGATTAAATTACTGAAGTCGAATTAATTTTAATTAAATTATTACTCTTAATTAAAACAGTAGAAATTAATATGATTGACAAATTAACAATTAAAATGATTTTATAAATAAATAGAATAATTGAATCATTAGAATAATTGATTCATACTATATGATCTTTCAGTTCTAAAGCGTGAATCAAGCTTTATAAAGGATCGTGTTACATAGCCACGTCGAGGACAACTGGTTTGTCGACACATTTAATATAATACGATTTTAATTTTAATATATACAACTTGTAAATTTTGGTTTATCAGAGGAAGAAAAATCCAGTATAAAGATGGAAACATTTTGTATTCTCCAAATACTCTTTAATCTTTAATCTTTTATTAACAATTTAGATTTATTGTCTTTTTGGATAATTGTTAGCTCGAATTAATAGAATTCGGAACAGTAGCCGGGTTATATATATATATACATATATATATATATATACATATACATAATGTTTTTTTCCCATGATTGAAAAAAAAATATCTTTCCGTCGAATATGACCAACCCTATATATACGTATGAAAAATTAAATTCTTTTAATAACAGGACAGATAAGATTAGATTCCATATGTTAGTACGATTCAATTTTCCCCTACTATATAAGCATATGCGCATTTTTATTGTAAGTAAAAGGAATTGTACTACTGAAAGTGCGTCAGAAAGCGCTCTCGTTTTGATCGGAGAATTATATATGCATAATAAATGATATGTACATTTAATAATAAATGAGGCATAAATAGCAATTCGATTGATTAAGCATTCACTCGGTCACTTAAACTGTTTTCTTATCTCAACAGATTACGATTGTAAAATCCAAAAATACTTACATTTATTTTTATCAATGCTTAATTCGATTTATTAATTTAAAAAAAATTAAACATGTTATTTCTATGAATGATTTTTAATATTATTGTTTTTATCCTCTTTTTTATTCTTGATATTCCAAAGATATTTTCATCATTTGATACTTTTTTTTATTGTAACATTAGAAAATATTCCTTAGCAAATAATATCATACAAAATTTATTACATTATTCATCTTCTTTTTTTTTAATTTTATTAATTTATATCATGAGTGTAATATTTAATAGATAATAGAATAAAATATATTAGAATATTTGTGTGTACGGACATACAGATATATAGACAACATTAGTACAGTGATTGAGTTTTTTTTGTGCCAAGTAATTGTAAGTACGATATTCAAAAATAAATGACATTCAGTAATAAAAATGCAATGGTTTATTATTATCTTGTTTGCATAAAACTGTTCAATAACAAAAATTTGAATCGGTTCACTAACAGACATTCAAGGCAATTGAATCATGCAATTTTACCCTGTGTTTCAAGGACAGCTTTTTTATCTTTTTGATATAAATCCTTTAAAGGCTCCTGTTAAGCAACTTTTCACAAAACCTCACTGTCGCCTGTTTTGTTCCTTTTTCCAATCGAACGCGGAAACTAGTTATAACATATTCATTCAAGATTCGCTACCTCTTCCAATTTGAAAGGCTGCGAGGAATGCTTGAGAAATTATACTTTATTGAGGCCGTTAGGTTTCATTATCGATCGTTTATCGATTGTCTACAGTCTAGCTTATCGAGTGTCACGATCAAAGGACACACAGTAGGGGAACATATACGGCCATGAAGACGCTTCGTAATTTCTGCTGTACCTCCATGTTATTTAAATCATTGAGTCGCTGAGTAGTATTAGCTTATTAATAGATTATTTACAACGACAACGAACAATGTATTTAGTTGATCAAAAATCATAGAAGTTAATAAACTATTTTTTTATCGATTCTTTTATTACGGAAAAATTGATTTCATGGAGAAAATGATCGCGTTACTAGCCTCTTTTTATGATAAGTAACGCGAACAAGTTGTAGACATTACTGTATACTTTTACGTTACTCTGATTTTACATATACTGTTTGGATTAAGATGAGAATCTTAAAAGGTAAAAAGATAAAAAGGGAAAGTCATATATATATTTAGAATAATCTTGAATTATATATACGTGATTCTAACTGTGGCAGTCTTCAAGATACTATGTTCGATTCCAGATGTACGGTTATGATTATCGCAATGATTTTCGAGCAGATAGATCGATTGGAATGTCGTTGGCTTTGGCATGTTCCGTTCTCCATAGTAGCGCAATTGCTCGTGTAAGAGCGTAAACGATTGACATCAGCAGCAATGCTGTAAAAATACATACAGATACGGGATAGTCAGTGACACAAGAACGTCATCAGCAATTCTCTAAAAGAAACCGAGTATATTAAAAATTAAAGTTATATTTTAAAAATATATTGCATTGATTAATTATAAAATGCATTTACTTACAATTATTATGGCATTCAATCCACCATTATTATTATTATAGTTTATCGTGTGTTATTTTGCTTTTTACTAGACGTTTTTTTGAAATTTTTGCAAACTAAAAATGATGCACAAAAGAAATGTTTAATTTTAAGATATTAAAATGTTTATTCTTGTTTTCATTTTTTAAACACTTAAAGATGTTTCAGTTTTAAAAGTTTTCAATAAACAAAACTATGTGTTTCGATTTAAAACATTAAAACATTTAAAATTGAAATGTTAAACGGTTTTTTTATTATTAAACAAAGATTTATTTTACAAAGATATTTTAAACGTAACATCTTAAACGTAAACATTTAAACTACACTTTTTATAGTGTATTAATCAATGGATTGGCCTCCTCAATCTTCAAATACAATTAAAAATCTGGTCATTAATCATAAAGATAAAATTTTGAGAAAAATCACTATATTTATAGAGAAATTTCAATCTCGATATACAGTATAAATTACAATAAGCAAATTATGATAGTAATAATCGATTATCCGGTAGATCTCAGACATTACTTTCGCACAATTAAATTTTAATCGTGACATTGTGTGTTGTTACAGTAACCTACCGGTACCAGATCTACCGGTTCGTTTTTTGATTGTAAAACAGGTAACGCATTTGCTCTTTATTTTTCGAGTATAAGAGATTAACGTAATTATAAAATTTATTCTGATTAGAATCTGGAAATTCTTGTTCTACTTTATCCTGTCATATAAGTTGGTGTTGTAATATTGCCGCACGATCATCGTCGCACTGGTAAGAACACTTTTAATCTATTATATTTTAACATACGACCGATGTGCTTATTTCGACTAATTGTAAAAAATTTTTGCGTTTTGAGAGGATGTTTAATTGCTGAGGATGGCCGGATTGTGGCCGAAACGTTTAATCGCTTATTATTGATATGGGTATTGATTAACGCTTGAATCATTCATTATTGAATAAAGTTTTAATCATCACAACCGACAACCTGTGCTGTGGTTTTTCATGTTCTTTGTTTTTTTAATTTTTAATATTATAATTTAAAGTTTTAAATTGTGAAATGAAACGATACTAATTTTCTATTACATTAAGAATCTACTATTTATCAGCAAAAATTGATGAGTCAAGAATCGATTAAGTCCCATACAAATATCAATTAATTCAATCGCTTTTCGATATCAGTTAATGTCTTACATGAATTGTCGAGTGTTAAACTACAAGGACGCATATTATCTCTTGCAATTTGCACTAATGACGATACTTACGACAATTGACGACGATGTTAAATTATTTTTTTATTTTCGTATGCAACATGCGCAATTATACATTGCACACTAATATAACTTTGCGAATTTTTAATAGCAAAATCAGAATTCTGTATCTGTATATCACGAACTAGATTCATGATAACATGAAATTGTTAATTCCAAGCTATAAAGCCATAAAGCCATAAAGTCCTGATAAAACTTTATGAGCATTCTTAAGTGAAAATAGACCACTTGGATTAAACGTATATGAATAAAAATGCCATATTCAATCAAGGCGATTTTTCCTAATAATATTTCTTATGAATTTATACAATTTCGTGACCGATGTCACGCGAAATCTGAGACTTTATGTATTTATGAAACATAAATACGTTGTTTTTTATTTTATTTATACTATTTTTTAATTTTGTACTGTTAAGAAATAGAAAATAGTAAATTGAAAATAGAAAGTAGAAGTATTTTGTTTAATTATGAAATATCGAAATGTCAAATAAAAGTATTATTTTATTTCAATTAAATGTTAATGTATATAGTAAATATTATTTGCCTTCCTTATATTTACTACGAAATATTTATTTCAAATAATACTTCTATAAACGCATCCTTTAAATAAATATTTCTAATGAATTTATTTCAATTTTTTCTCTACATTAAAAATATGTATTTACTATTTTCTATTTCAGTTAACTATTTTCTTCAGCACAGGTCTTCTCTGGTAATGTAACTCTTTTTACTGGAAAACTTAGTAAAAAATAAAATCCAGTTTATTGTAATAAATCGCTGTAAAATTATACAATTATGTGATCATTGCGGGTCGATCCAAGGCTGATTACATAGATATCCTACGATATTAAAAACGGGGGCATTACAGATCCTAAGTATCCTAAACTATATCTATTTGTCCCTGAACCTGCAAGAACGCCTGTTGCTCTTATGGAGCGTATATAAGACTGTCGGCGTTCTATTACAAAGCGCAGTGTTAAATTACCACCTCGTCGACAACAATCGAGCATCACGTTGTTAGCACTTAGAGAACTTGTTTCCACAGTTACAATTTGTACTTTTGCCTGAAGTACAGTAAAGCTCACGGATCTTATTGTTCATCATGGAGAACATACGTGCAAATCGGGTTAATGCGATTCACATCGATAACGACAAGACTATCACCACTAATTTTGTGAAAGATGCACCAAAGATTACGAGATACTCGGTAAGAAGTTAAATAAGTTGAGATAAGAATTAAAATGATAATCTCTCCGCGCATATTCTGACATTTTAAAGACTAAATTAGTATTTGATGTTTTTGGCATAATACGTCGAACACTTTACTTCGGAAGAGATATAATTATTTTATAATTATTAAAGCTCTACTTTTTATGACTGAAGTATTTCTTGAGCCCAATTGAATAGATAAACAATTCCATGCAGCATGAAATATTTCAGAAATTTTTCATAAAATCTTTCTAAAATATAAATATGTTCAGGAAATCAATGTTTTTGAAGTATTCTTTTACAATATTTATGCGATATTTCTCAAATATTTCTAAAATATTTTAAGATATTTATTTTAATATGTTTGCAATTTTTTAAAATATTTACAAAATATTTCTGAAATATTTTATTGAAATATTTCAAAAAATGATTCATATAAATATTTTATACCGTGGATAATTATTTTATTTATAAGAATGTATCAGTCTTTATTTATTAATTTTTTTTAAATTATTTTCGTCATATATATTATGCATTCGCATTTTTTCTTTAAAATATCGCTATATTATTTTACGAAAAAATATAGACATTGTTTTCTCATGTACTTTCGAGTCGAAATGTTCGTATCGAGAGATACGGTTATGTCTTAGGTCAAGAGATTATTAGTGACTTTCGAAAGAGAGTCGTGCATGTATCTGTGAAAAATTATACTGTTTTCAATTTTTGATCGAGTGTGATACTCTTCCTAAATAAATTATACTTTTCTAAAGGATAGAATGAGTTTCATTCTTTGCATTGGTGATGATGTACGCATAAGTGCAGTACCTTAGTGCTAGATGATCTAATCATTTTCTCACGGTAATTGTAGGGTGTCAGAAATTATTATGCAGATTATTAATTACGCTGAAAAAAACCGTAAGAACTTTTAATGTAAGTAATGACACGCTCCCTTTGACATGACGTAACTCGAATGATGACAACGCGTCTTACACAATTATATCCTTTAAATGTAATGACGCGTAATATTCAGAGAGGGCTCCTTTAATTGCGACACATATTATCAGCGCATTAAGCAATTAAGCGACTATTTTAAATTATAATTTAGCAAATGATTAAATGACTTATTAGAAGAAGGACATTTTAAATTATACGATGATGAACAATAACGGTGTAACATTCAAGGAAAAGAAGTTTTGCATTCTGCAAGGTTTCCTTGCGTTCTAAATAACACGTCATGATATCACGTAGCAGCAAAGTAAAACGTCTCAGAAGACATCTGTGTAATATCAGAAAAAATTGAATCAAATTAAAAAAATGTTTCTAAACATTTTCAGAGGATTTTTAATTTTACGTTATTTTATATACATATCTATGTCGTTTGCAAACCGTATCAGACTCAGCAAACAAGCTGACGTTATTTGTCGTCATTTTGATGACAATAACATTATTTTGACGTCAAAATGACGACAAATAACGTCAACTTTACTGAAAGTGCACATTGCATCTGCATGCGTAGGCAGTCTTATCAACTTTTACAAATCACTGCTTGGAAATAGATCAATGACAAATTAGGACAATTACGTTGGACGACGTTGACCGCGGAATGGTTGCTCGTGATAGAACGCATTGAATAAATGAGACTGTCTCACGCATATCCACGTGATGTACAGTGTAATAAGCTGGCGCATCATTAATCATTTCTATGTATAAAAGTCTCCTCTGAATTCTATTCTGCAGCGTTCCGCGCAAATTATGCTAAATTTACATTTCCTATTGTATAGGAATTGAACGACACGTGTCTCTATTCCGATTAACTATGTGCAAGGTACGATCAGGCCTAAATAAAATATACATCAATCATTAAATAACAACATTCAAGGTCAATAATTTGTCAGATAATCTTGTCAAATGTCTTCCTTCTCGTTTTATTGTAAAATATTAATTAATAAGTATTGACGCTTTTAATGTTTTTTTATAATTTCTAAAAAAATTTAAATAAATTAATGAATTTAAAAAAAAAAGGATATCAATTTCTAAATATAAAATTGTATTATAATGTTATAATCTTTTCTTACAATGTCAAATAATTTTTGTAGTCTCATAATTAATATTCTCATTTTCATAATGTTTTTATTTCAGTTGGCCGATTTGGCTGACGGATCCAGCAACAGTATGGATTATCATATCGAGATAATTAATAAGGATGATAAACTGAGAGTGCTGAAATTCTTAAGAAGATTCTTCTTCAGAGACGAGCCGCTGAATCAGAACATTCAATTGATTCCGGAAGGTGAAGATAGTACTTGTGCGGAACTGGAGGAATACTGTTGCAATGCCTCATTTGAAAATAACATGAGTCTAATGGCAGTTTCCACGAGTGGTACAATTGTTGGAGTTCTGCTCAATGGTAAAGCTGTAGTGGCAATCTTTTGTTAGCTTTATGAATGCTCAATTAAGCACTTCTTTCTGAAGACGATGTTTTTTTCCCAATGTTTTGAAAAACATTTCATCGTGAATTGGCATCGTGTTTGCAATTTCGTTTCTCGTGCGTTTTTATGTCATTTTGATCAATTGCATCTTCTAAGTAATAGTCATCAAATACATATTCTCAGAAAAGAATTTTAATAGATGTAAAAAAAATTTCTAATTGACAATATTGAACATTTATCTCCATTTTGATAATAAGATTAAAATTATTTTATTTGTTGTCCATCGACTGTTGTCTATAATATTTTATTAAATGTTATTCTTATTAATTTGATCTCTCATATTTATAACCAAATAAAGAAGCTATATATTTACTAATATACATATATTAATGTTTCTTCAGATAAATTTATTTGTATTTGTTAAATATATAAAAGATAAAAATATAAAAGAAAAAAAATTTGCACGTATGTATTATCTTTATCTTCTTGAAATATGGATGTGTCGTTTCGTTTGAACAGATGCAAAAATTGTCAGTTAATTTGAAACGTATCTTAACTGTATTCAAATAAATGCACATTGAGAGAAGAGACTAAAGAAATACAACGGTACCGTGAGATTACGTAAAATGCTACGGATCTCGAATAATACGTGAGTTATTATCCGATACCGGTTGTGACTCGAAATAGATAATTATATCATGTAATTTGCTGATAAATATGTATCTACATTAAAATGCACAAACAACTATTACGCGACATTCGAAAATCGTATTCATATATTATACATCCTGTGCAAATCGTTAACCGTACTGCGAAGATGTTAATCATACATTTCAAATGAAATTTAAAATCAACAATATGAATAAATAATATGTAAATAACAGCTTAAGTTAAAAATAGCAGGAGCAAAAGTAGCAAAGTTGAAAATCACACACACAAAAGGAGATACCTTTTAAAATTTATATTTTTTTAATTTTTAATATAAATAAATAAATACAAATGAAAAATATTGATACAGCAATAATAGATTTATAATTTAGCAGAAAACACATAGAAACATTAACTAAATTTATCCAGATATCATTCGCTTTATCTTTTATTATGCAGAATTAATATTAATTTGCAAAGTTCATAAAAAAGATTACGTAACACAAGAATCGGAATATAATTCCTTCATTAAAAACTAGAAATAATAGCTATAACATGTTTCATATTTAGATACTTTGCAAGTTTTATTAGATAACATGACTGCTATTACACATAAATATTTAAGTAATTTAGAATTGGTTTAAGTAAGTTATAATTAATAAGTAATTTAGAATTGGTTTTCTCATAACAAAAATATTATTTTATAAAGGATATCTAAATTATTGTTAAATGACGGAATAAATTAAATTATTTAAACATAATAATTATTAAATTATTAAAATATTAAAGAATTTTTAAACATTCGTTACATATTATACATTTATACATTATTTTCACATTATATTTTAATTAATTCATGGTTTATCATTCGCGTTATAATTGATAGCTATTGACAACTCGTTAAAATAAATGCATGACAAGACATTTATGTCAAGCTATATTATATACACAAGAATATATTTAAAATAATTTCTCGACTTCACCCTCAATAAATATTTAATGTAAGAAAAATCGAGAAAAAAAAACTGTTGTTCGGAATATTAAAAATTATTTGAAATGATCAATAAAGAAACTATGTGCGTGTGCTTATATGTCTTATTTTATCAACTTCATTTAATAACTACGTATTAATCAATACAAAATATTTCAGCGCGACTTTTAGGAGACTCCTTTAGGAGAAACACTTTAAAGGATAATAGAGATCAACAAAAAAAACTTTTATTAAAAAACCTGTAGTCTCCCATTCCTCTGATGCATTTTTAAGGAGCTATGTGTCCTCATTCGAATTATAATTGACTGTAAGGTATCTTTTTACAAAAACAAAATAAAAAAACAATTGAATTTTGATGATTGTTAGACGTCACGCAAATAGCTCCTTAATTGTGCCAGAGAATACCATTTCCTTAACAAAAGTTAATTTTTTTTGAGAGTCATCTCCCTTGAAGTTTATCCCAGAAATTTTGTATGCGTGATATGTATCAACAATGTTAATTTTTTTAAGGATATGCTATAAATGTTAATTATTAAACATATATTTTAATATTTATGAATTATTTATGTAATTGTAGATTGATATGAATTTACCTTTTACAGGCAAAATGGATAATCTTGTATCAAATGAAGAACCAGAATATATACGTTCGTGTAAAAATGCGAAATTTAAGAAGATATTGAGATTACTGCATTACTTGGATAAAAGTGTAAACATGGGTGGACGATTTCGAGATTCCAAAATTCTGGAGATCAGAATAATTTCGGTGGACACAAATTGGAGAGGAAGAGGTGTCGGGACGACTCTGATGGGAAAAACAGCGTAAATACTATTTTGTTTTTGTAATATGTTCAAAGATCGATCAAAGTGAGAGATGCGTTTAAGAGAGCAAACGATATATTCTTGATCTACTTATAAATTGCAGGGAAATGGCAAAGGAACAAGGATATCATTATCTCAGGGCAGACTGTACGTCCATTTTTTCCGCTAAGATGTGCGAACGACTTGGTTACGATCAGATATATAAAATTAATTATAAGGACTACGTGGATGAGGACGGAAAACCAATCTTTTCACCTGTATCACCACACATAGCGGCTGTCTCATATGTAAAGAAATTATAAAAATAAAGTTGAAAGATGGAATTGAAGAGAGAAGTATACATTTGGAATGAATAAATTTGTGTAAAGAATAATAAGAAAATAGCAATATATTATTATCTTATGTCGTTTATATTAAAAATGTATAGCAGTGTTTCTATAGTAAAAAAAAAAAAAATAAATAAAATAAATTTTATAATTTACTATATGTGTATAAAAAATATGCACATCGTTATATTTAAGTGTAATCATTGTAAATACAATAATTACTTCAAGAATAATGATTAGGTTTGAGATAGCATAGATGTCTGTATATTTATACATGCGCAAAAAATGTATTATTGGCAAATATATATCGTGATATCTGAGATATATGTAAATATATATAATTTAAAATTATAAGTGTAGAAAGAATGTGATTCGTTTATCTAATATCATCTTAATAATATATTAAATATTATAAAATATATTAAAAATATGAATCAAATAATGCATTACCGTTAAAATAAGTTTCTTTGCATAGTTTTTTTTTATTATATATGAAAGAATGATCATAGTGATGTACGTCACTTTTTTAAATCTATCAATTTGAGGTCATTGGTGCAGTTTATTGAAGCAGATATGTTGAAAGAAAAAATTAAATAGATCATAACTCATCTCTTCCTAGTATCAATATTTGATTTCATATCATAAATTTATTACACCAAATCTAATAAAGTCTTTCATTTCTCAAAATCATAATTAAGTGAAATTTTTTTTATTTACACCATTAATCAATATTTATTCTTGAAAATTGAAAGTATGTTAGTAAATTTTTAGAAATTTTTTTTTAACTATTCTGAATAGGTGAAAAAACGGACGGATTCTAATGACTCATGTTTGGACGGACACCAAATTGTATGTAAACGCCAAATTATACCTTGTATTGCATAAGGGTTAAAAAATTTTTATAATCGAGATATTGAGAAAAAATGTTTTGCATTTCGTTTTATAGATTTAATAAAGCATGCTTTCAAATTTCCTTAATTAAATAGATAAACAATATCTTATATAAAAAGAACCCACAAAATAAATATAGCCATCTTTGTATAAAAATCATATAGCAATAGGATTTACTTTCAGTACAACAGAAAGGAAAAGGAAATCGAGAAAAAGAACAATGTCTCTAATAATAACTGGCATTTCTTTAATTTCTAATAAAATTTTTGCTAACATTCTTTACTGTCTTCTACAGTCAGGTACTCTTTAAAATTCTCTTCGGAATTAAGATCTTTTATAGAAAACTTATTGGCTTTCATATGTGCTGATTCTCGAATTTGTTTATATTTATTCTCTATTAGAGTATGTCGCAAAGCTACTATCCTTCTTACTTTCATAGAATAAAACATAAAAACAAGTTGTAGCAATCCTAACCCAACACACGCAAGAGCTACTAGGAGGCCAAAGTATTCATTCGGTGTTTGTGGAGGTGGTGGTGGCCACGGTCCTCCTGCTGTACGTACTTTATATTCCCATTGACTGCTATATCGCCTGCAACAATGTATTATGTTATTGTATTCAATTTTGTGCTCACTGTTACATGTTTATACAGGCAATATAGAATCAATTATAAAAATAAAGTCACTTTGCTTCAACTTCTATTCAAAAACATTATAATCTATACAACAGAATTCTGCCGTTGCGTAAGAGTGGAAAATAATACAATTTCAGTATTACAAGCATAATCACTGATTATTATAATTCGTTTTAAATAATATGTCAAGTTTTTTACAACTATTTTTGTCAAAGCACAAATTTGGAAATGCAAAAGCAAGAATTTTAAAGGTACGATTTAATTTCATATTGCATTAGCATTTTTTAATAAAATCAATATTAACTTACGTGTTCTGTGAGTTATTTACATAAGATGGATTGTATTTATTATACTTCAAATCAAAATCATATTGGCGCCTTGTATTTTCTTTGCTTAGAATCATGTACGCTTCGTTCAACTTTACAAAATCATTATGATCTTGTTTACCACTAGTATCAGGATGCAACTAACAAAAATAAATGCGCAGTTTATAGGCTAATTGTTTTTTTATGTATCATAAAATAGAGACTAATGAAAACAGTAAAAAATATGCTGTTTACATTTATAATATTATCCAAATTAAAAATTTATAATTTCTCCTAATATAAATTAAGTACCTAAAGCATTACATACTTCTTGTATTTAGATAATTACATACTTGTTTTGACAATTTTATAAAAGCTTGTCTAATCTCTTTCTGCGACGCATCAGGTGAAACGTTTAAGATTTCATAATGATTCTGCTGGTACCTTTAAAAGGAACGTGCTACATTGGCAATAATAAATCTGTTTTTTTTTAGCAGGCTGACACTTTCTACACTCAGAACAAAATAAATATACATCTCATATGTTAAACGGAAGGAAAGGAAAAAAAAAGATTGTGAATAAATATATTAATATATAGTAATATATAATAGTCTCTCTTTTAATTTTCCTATAATTTTGCAAATTTTTGTACTTTCATGCATAAAATATTCGAAAAAAGAAAATCGTCGCTCTCGTTTCCTTTTTTTTAAATTTCGTTTTTAATGTTTACATACAAAGAATAAATGATGTAAATTTTTGATCACAAACTATTCTCTGCTATAATTTAAATCATATAAAAAAGTAATTTGTGATTTTAATTAATTAAAGCAGAGAATTTGCATGGAATAAGCATGTAGAGAGTTATCATTAAATTGTAATTTTCTTAAATACTGACAAAAAAAAAACTGAAATTAATAAAAAACAAACATTTTCTTTTTTTCGAAATACATTTCACTCATGAAAATATATAATTTACAAAATTACAGAAAAATCGAAAAGAACATTATACTAAACATTTATCAAAGATTGTAATAAAATACAAAAAGTAGCTAGCTAAAAAAACAAATTTATTATTTGACAATGATTATGACATAACGTGACGACAAAAGATTCTAACCTCCAAGTTCCATAACTTCTAGCCACGCAACAGATTTCCGATTTGCATACTCGTATGAACTGTGCCATTGTTTATCAATACAATATTTCTCAACAAAGTGATAAATCATTTCGAAAACTTGAAGCATTTTGCGCATTGACAGCTTGTCTGTCAGATGATGGCTGCCATCTTTCATATAAAAAAATATTTTACAAAGAGAAACCTGAGAGAGATGTCGGTCTTCTTTCTATTATCGTCGAAATAGTCCGTACACTACCGCCAGTACATCTATTTTACGTTTGGGAATTACATGACATTATATACATTTTCTGACACTATCGATAAAATCGTATCGACGATAGTAGATGTGGTTCGTGTCTGTATTAAATTCTTCAAAAATAAAAGTTATTTAGTATTCATTGTTTTAAATAACAACACTTTTGACTTACTCCTTATTTAATATTTTAAATAAGTTTTTGGAACTTATTTTATATTTTTTATTTTAATTCGTGACAGTTATTTTATTGAGCCGTGATCGGCATTATACGTAAATTTAAAGAATTATTAAACACAGAATAATTTGCAATAATAATAGTGTCTTAAATTAATTTAGCTCAAAAATTAAATATAATGATTAACTAGATATTTAATATTTTTAGTCAAAGCTGTAATATTTAGCACAAACTATTTCACATACTATATATATATATATATATTTTATATAAAGATACACATTATTAATCTTTATTTAAGTATGAAACATTAAAAAGAATAATAAAAATTGAGACATAATATTAGAATATCAAACTCAACAAACGAGAATGGATTGAAATAAATTGAAATGAATTCAGATTTTCGGAAATATTGATTCACAAATGTTAAAATGAATGCTTTTCAATCCTGAATTTTTATCCATTTATAAGAATTGCATGGAACATACCTGTATGTCTATGTCTTTCAACCTAAAAATAATATTAGCTTTTTCTGTGCACACAATAAACATTATGAATACTGTTCAATTCAAAATTTTGAATAGGAAATGCAGTTTTTCAATCCAATTGCATCCAATTGAATCTACTTGAATCCAATTGAATTCAATTAAAATACGCATTCGAATAGAAAAAAATTTCAATCCATTTTAATCATTTTTCGTTTGCTGGGAAAATAATTTCACTCGAATAATTATTAATTACGTTTAAAAGAATCACACAAGTAATATAAGATTGAACAAATAACAGAGATGGCACAAAGCAAAGCGTAAAATGTACGACGATACCCGTTTGTTAAAATTATATAAAATGTGAATTGAATAATTTTTCATACGTGACATTTGCGCATCAGAACGGTGAAGGATGGGGCGAGGGATGGGGACGCGCGGCGAAAAGCGAGGGGGAGCGTGTCGCGTCGCGCGGCGCGGTGGTTGACCACGTCATCACTTTGGTATTCGCTCGGCAACCTTGGAGGGGGACGGCTGTGATGCGAATCGCTTCGAGTGTCGCATTAAATTTACGAAAATTTAGACGATGTCATTGAACGCGAATTGATCAACACTCATAATTTGCGAATCGTGAACATGTCGAAGCAACTGCTGTTCGTAGAAGGTATAGTTATTCTATCACAGGTTTGAAATAGACATCGAAATATACGGTAGTTTATAAATTAAGAATTGTCATGTTTAGATCGGTATTTATCCTCTTTAATGGTCATGAACATGAGTGATAGCACGTCGAGGGTTTTGTATATCACTTTCAATTTGTATTGCTTGCTTATTTATATTTTTAACATTACAGAATTACAAGTATATTTTAGTGATCGATTTATTATATGCAAAGGCCTCATTGCTATCTCTCGCGTCAGATGGACGCCAATGATTGCATGGTTTGTACCAACAGAAAGTCGAAATTATTTTTATTCCTCGTCGCTTTTCGTGAAATCCATTTGCGAAGTCTAATTTGTTTCTTCGGAGATTTTTATAAAAGATTGGAATTAATCCTAGGTTTTCTCATCTGTAATTACTGAAAGCATTACTTAATTTTGTCAATGACAATTGCTATATATATTTTGAAGTCAAGTTGCGAAATTAA